TGGCCCAACTACTCGATTTTCTTACTTTGAAGCTTCTGTACCTAGCACTTGTATTTGAGTAACACAAAACAGTTAAAAAAGACTTTTCCACGTCAAAAAGAAAGATCTAGGAGCTTAGAACACGCTGTGCTAAAGTTATTGTTTATTAAAAACAAATTTCAGTTGTACAGAATGAATGAATGACAGACACACACAACAACTACCTATACCTCGCGTAGGCGAGGCCAATTATTTGCTTAAATTTTCTAGTGGCAAATATGACTTATTTGTATAAAATAATGTGTTCTTATTGTGAAATATATTTATTTTATTTATTTAACAAAGGGAGGTGGATGAGTTATGAGTACTCTTACATGACAGTCCTTGATGGGAGGAATGGTGATATCCTCTGGCGTATTAACTGCTCACAGGCAGCAATGGCATCACCAGTCACTCTTCAGAGCAAGACTAGAGGAGATGATGGTTTCCTGTTTCTTGGAATTGGTTGTAATAAAAAGATTGATGATATCATTAATTCAGGTGAACGATCCTCTCATTCTCCAAATGATGGTAGGAGTACTAAAAGATCACAGTGTCCAATGAAACACTTTGAAAAAGATAATGATAGATGTGTTCTTAATCCTCTTGATGTTCTATTGCATTCTTGTCAAAGAAGACATGGTAATGATGATGGATTGCTCCAAGGTTCCACTGATAATGATGCCAGAATCCCTCCTCAAGAAAGCATGATTGACATTGACTTCAGTGAGTATTATCCTGATGATCTGTGGGAGAGCAATGGACCAATGGATATCTTTCCTGATCCTGATGAGAGCCCAGAGTCTTTCATGAAGGATTACTGTGGATAAGATCCTGATCTGTTGCTAGCTAATCTTTACTTCTTGAACAGGAAATTGATAGAATCACTAACTGATGTTATACCAGTCATGTACTTTCATACTTACATATACAGTAAGTTACTCCCAGAACTGAGTTTATAATGTATAGATAGAAATTGCTGTGGTCCAATATTTTGTCAAAAATGCCTAGGGAATTTTTTTATTTTTAATTGATTTTATGATACATATACTTGAACTTAAGTTGCGTACAAAGTTTGAACTGATTCTGGTTATGTTTTGTTTTTAACAAATTTTTTAGTACTTCAAAAATTGAGCCAAAATCCCAGTACTATCCACAAAAAATTTGTACCACAAAAATCAAAGGAATTTTTGGAACAATTGTCATTATAAAGTTTGTAAAGTTAAATTTTATTTTAATTGCTTGAGGTAACTCATAAAGACTTGAAGCAACATCATGGTGAAAAGAATGGACCAACTACAAATGATACTGGTGAGCAATCAATGGAGGACATTGAACTAATGATGATAAAGAAACTAATGAAAGACCGCAAGGGACTTCGTTGTGCTCACGTCATGGCCCCTGTGCTATTAGCAGGGACTCCTGTTATAACTGACCATGATGGAGATGGTAAAGTTTAAGCTATTGTGTCCCTTACTTATACAGCAGTACCTAGTGCTTATAGTGTAAAAGTAC